GACTTCTTTCGTTCTGGACCAGTAGTATACGCATTTTCATTTATACTACGCTTCTTAAAAGCGTGTGCTTGTAATTGTTGTTGTAGCTCGTTACGCGACGCAGATCCCACTTCTGATGTCGGGTGTGTATCATTATACTCTGTACATGAAATGTACAAGAGTATATTAGGTTTGCGGGAGCTGAAAAATGTAACAGGCAGAAGGAGGCGTGGCAGACCCCACAAAGTATATATATTCTTGATCAGCATGACGAGACGAGTCGATCTAGCCCTGTCTGTCCGTCTGTCCGTCCGTATGAACACCTGGATCTCAGAGACTATAAGAGATAGAGACACCAAATTTTGCACAAAGATGCGTTATGTGTGTATTCTATACGAGTTTGTTTTATATTTTTGATTTTCCCCTCCACTTCCTCCCTATGGGGGTTTTCCCGATTTTCCATTCGTATAATCGCCTATATCTCGGAGACCATAAGACCTAGGAACACCAAATTTTGTGAATACGCAGAAAATGTATATTTTGGAATTTCCCTCCCTCTCCCCTCTCCCCCGCAAATGCGATTTTCTCTAACTCCCGTAATTCTTGGAGTTTCGAACTAAAATTTTGCAAATACCCCCAGTTAGTTATTATGTGTCCGTATGCCAAGTTTCACTATGATAGACCGATTTACCAAGAAGTTATAGCCATAAATATATTTGCTGCTGCAGCGCTGCTCAAGCGCTGCCCGCGGCTGTTGTTGATGTTGCTGTTTGGTTGACTGCGAAAATGCTTACACAGACACGAATTGAAGCGCATAGGCATACATACACTCACACAGACGCAATTGCTATGTAAATGTGCAATTATACACCCTTTACGTGAGTTCGAATACCGAGAAAGGTAAAATCGATCATTGAATTTTTATACCCTGTACCCAAAGGGTACAAGGGTATATTAGTTTTGTGCGAGTGCACATGGAACACACAGAAGGAGGCTTGGTAGACCCCACAAAGTATATATATTCTTGATCAGCATGACAAGCCGAGTCGATATAGCCATGTCCGTCTGTCCGTCTGTCCGTCTGTCTGTCCGTCTGTCTGTCCGTCTGTCTGTCTGTATGAACGCAAGGATCTCCGAAAGTATAAGAGCTAGAATAACCAAACTTGGTATACAGATTCTCCTGAGACCGAGAAAGGACGAGTTTGTTCATTTTTTCTGATCCACCCCCCCACTCCCCCCCTATTAACGATTTTCTATAACTCCCGTAATTCTTGGAATTTTGAACTAAAATTTGGTAGTCACATTAGGTTAGTAATTATATATCCGTATACCAAGTTTCATTATGAAAGAATGATCGGAAAGAAAGTTATAGCCATATAACCAGGCCCAATGCACACATACATACATATGTACAAGTACACAAACACGCATAAGGCACGATTCTGATGTAAATGTAAATGTATCTATGCATGCATGAAATATTTTATATTTAATTTAGTTAATTAATTAAATTAATTTAGTTAAATAATTAAATTAAATTAATTAATTAATTTAATTAAATTAATTTAATTACTTTTTTGTGGGGTGGTACAGGGTATTTAAGAGTTGAGCCTGCTCGACTTTAGCATTCCTTTCTTGTTTTTTATTTTTGCAGTGAACCAAAACACCAGCATCAACAACAGCTGAGGGCGGCGCTTGGGCAGCAAATGGGTATAACTTCTTGTTAAATCGGTCTACCATAGTGAAACTTGGCATACGGACATACATATAATCACTGGCTGGGGGTATTTTCCGAAAAAATAAAACATTCTTGCACAGAGTACACACATAAGGCATCTCTGTGCAAAATTTGGTGTCTCTAGCTCTTATAGTGTCTGAGATCCAGGTGTTCATATGGACAGACAGACAGACAGACGGACAAGGCTAGATCGACTCTTCTTGTCATGCTGATCAAGAATATGTATACTTTTTGGGGTCTGCCACTCCTCCTTCTGTGTGTTACATACATTCGCACAAAACTAGTATTTTGAACATAAATAGGAATGGAATGCTAGAGTCGAGCCGTCCCAACTCTTAAATACCCTGTACTCCTTCCCAAAATAGTACACATGTGTATGTATAAACTAACCAAACGGGTGAACATAGCTATTTCTACAATTTTTTCAGATCAATAATATTGTTTGTTGCTCGCACTAAGCTAGTTCACTTTTAAATTTATTTTGATCTGAACACATTACGACCTAAAACACCTTCATATATACGAATATGAGTACATGCATAGTATTTGGCACGTTAAGTACAGAGCTATACAAGTACATATGTAGTTATAGCTTTTGAAATTCTGTCTTCTATCTGCTACTGCTTGCCCGTTTCAATAACTTCAAGTGGGTATTCCGCATTTACTAACGATGCGGAGCGGAGCGGCGGGAGCGAAAGCAGGAACGGCTTCGCTTGTAGACATGCCGTCGCTCCAGCGCACGGTACAAAAGACAACGGCCAGCTAATAAAATGTACATTACGTGCGAACGTGCGTTGACTGTTAAGAATCGGCTCGCCTTGGAGTAGGAGTCGGGCTTGGCGGCGGACGTTAAACCGAAAGCCCCGGCTCAACCCCAACGATGGTCTTGTTGTAGGCGTCGTCGCTGGCAGTCTAATTATAATTTTGCATTCTGCTTGCGCATGCAAAATTCATGAGGGGTGCGGCGATGGAGGAGCACTAAAGTACGGTACGGCAGTGCACAATATTGCCTTATATACGATACATACATACATACATACATACATATACAAGTACAACTTGACAACTTCCGCCCTCCCGACATCGTTATGGGTCAGTCGGAAGGACAGTCACATTCAGTGGGTGAAGAATATACGTTAAGCGTTTTATGATCAAAATGCGCGTTTCGTTTAAGGAGCGCACGTCCCCTAACCAATCCCTTAAACATCGTCCTCTCCGTCTTCTTGTGCTCGTTTCGCGCTGATGTGCACAGCTTCCGTTGCGTTTCCTTGCGCTGTTTTTTCCGCAAATGTTGCAAATCTTCGCGAATAACTGTACACATACATACTTTCATCGGGCGGGCGACGCATTCTTGCTTTCCTGCTGTCCCGCTTTCCTGCCCACCTCCGCACAAAAAACGTGTCGAGGCAGCGGAAATAAAGAGAGAGTGTCGAGCAACATCAGCAGCACCAGCAGCAGCGGCAGCGGCAGCAGCGGCAGCAGCCATGCAGCATACAAAGTAAAGTGCATGAAATGAAGCAATGAAACTGGTAATAAACAAATGGCACAGCGAAGCGGATGTTGGAGCAACGCGAGGAGTTGGGTGTGGGGGTGGTTGATGGCGAAAAATAAATAGAGCAGCGAAGAGTTGGGAAGAAGAGAGCAGGCCGAACGAACACAAGTAGCGTACAAATTTATGTAGCATAAGCTGCATAAACATTAATATTACATAATCGGCAGCGGCATCAACGCGACAGGGATGAGGGTCGCGGCGGTTTCAACAATTTAAGTGTCGAACACTGTTTTGTTGATGCTACTTCCAATTTATACATACATACGTATACATATATACTAGCAGGTCTTCCCCGAATTTTTAGTTTATTTACTATATGATGTTTCTAAAGGATCGGTCAATAGCAAATTTCTTTGGTACGTTCCGAGAGCTAGGCCATATAGTACAATACATACTGTGTATGTATATGTATATTTTTGTAGTCCTAGCAGGTCTTGCCCTTCTTTGCTGCTCTAAGTAAAGAGCGCTTACAATTAAACGTTTACTTACTATATGATATTTCTCTTCTCTAAAGTTTCCAAAGTTCATTTCCCAAATAGCAAGTATAGTACAATAAGTACTATGCATGTATGTACGTATACATAACTTCATTACACGCACAGCGGACTGTCCTCAATTATCTGTGCATCCTGAGCACGCTGCACTCACGGTCGAGTTATCTCCTAAAAGCGGGACGGAGTCAGTCCCGCGCGCGAAATTTAATTTTGATTTAAAAATCAGAAAGTCCCGCCAAAATCGGGATGACCAGCTACGCTGATATGTACATACATTTTATTTTTTCATGCAGGCGCCATCTACCTATATATGTATGTACAAATATATATATTCAATTTTGAAGTTCAACACTAATATGTGTTTTCAATTTTAAATATGAATGTTGGGCTTAACGCTGACTAAATCCCACTCTTTAGAATAAGTTTACAGCGTTGTTAGCGGACGAAACCGTTTAACACAAACGGTAAGTCGCTTGTAAATATGCGATCAGCTGAGATGCTAGAGATGGGCAGATGTCGACTTTTTTCGGCCTGTTGTTAACTTAGCCTAAGTTTAAATGATTAACTATATTGTAACGAGTTGGCATTTTCGATAAATGATCCAGACGACACTGCAGTTGGCAGTACTGCTACAGATTTGGAGTCAGTGTCGTGAGGAACAGCAAGCAATGCACATGTACAAGGCACTCAACTACAATAAAGTGTAGAATAAAAGAAACTTAAATAATTCAAAGAATAAAGTATATATATTTTAACCCTAAATAAATAAAGTTTTTAATGAAGTGCGCGTATCGATGGTATATTGTGAATATTGAGAGCGAGATTTGGTCGATCGAGCCGGATTCATAATTAAATTACAGGTACGCAACAACATTAATGGTCCTTCGAGCCGGATTCATAATTAAATTACAGGTACGCAACAACATTAATGGTCCTTCGACGCCTACAGAACGGCACATTGGAACACAACATTTATGGTCTTTCATTGGAAAAAAACGATATAAAGTACATATCTACGTATACGAAGTATAGGAAATTCACCACACGCGCGTCGTGTTGAATTTAAATTGAAGTGTGTATAACAAAGCCGTGTGTATGTAACATAACGCATGTACAGACTGATACACACACCGACAAGCGAATGCAGTTATTCTGCGAATTAAAAAGTAATAATTGGTAATATCCGGAGTTAAGAAGTGATCAGCCAGTATTACGCAACAAAAAGACGACTTTTAAAATGGAAACAAATGAGGAGAAAAGTGTGAGTGTGACTGGGGATATGGAAAACATGGCTAGTGGTTTTGACAATGCGGCCGCTGAGCACTTGGACAAAACTGTAATTCAAACATCGACTCCGCACCCATCAGCCAAAATACCACCATCAGTCATAACCTCGCAAACAACAGGAACTCAACGTTCACGCAAATTAACAGCAACTCAACGACTAAAAATTGAGATGGACTTTTTGAAGACACAACACGATCTTCAACAGCAACGCGCAAAATTAGAATTCCAGGAGAAGCAGAACGAGATGCAACGACAACTACAAATGGCACAACTGGAGGATTGCAGCAACTACGAAGACTATGACGACCAAAACGATGAAAACCAAGCTGAAGGCAATTGTGAAGACAACGAACACATTGATGACATTGGCGTACAGGCTGCACTTCGAACAAGTGAGTGGGTTGGCAGACAGCCACAAAGATTAAAATCGAAATAATGTTAGTTCCGATGAAGAAAATATTTCAACACAAAATATTATGAAAACATTTGTTGCTCGACAAACTATTTCACAGGATTTACCAGTATTTTCTGGAGATCCACTTGAATGGCCAATATTTTATTCTGAATTTAAAAACAGTTCTGAAATATGTAAATTTTCGGATTATGAAAACATAAATAGATTAAGAAAAGCATTAGCTGGTCGAGCAAAGGAATCTATACAATCGCTTTTGTTATTGCCACAAAACGTAAAACTTATTATTGATGTCTTAAAAGAAAGATTTGGCGATCCTGCGCATATTATCAGACATTTAATAGATAAAATTAAAAATCATCCCCCTGTTAAAGACGATCAAATTGAAAAACTTATAAGTTTATATGATACACTTACTAACCTTATACATACACTGCAGAATTTTGAAGAAATCGATCATATTAGAAATCCAATTTTGTTTGAAGAAATTTTGGAAAAATTGCAATTATCACAACGTTTAACTTTCACGCAATACTACCAAGAGACAAAGTGTAGGGAACCAAAGTTAATAGCACTACACAATTGGTTAGGAAAAAATACTAAAGCAGCACAGATACTCGGGTTCGGGCAGAACAAAGCAAAAGAAACAACCTTGACCGTTTCAAATCAGGATTCGGCTAACAAACCAGATCATTCCAAGTATTGCAATTTTTGTAAACAAACAAATCACTTTATCGTATCATGTGAGAAATTTAAGGGACTAGGAATAGATGAACGTTGTTGCCAACGTTATCAAAAATCACTTATGCATATCATGTCTGGGCAGAAACCATATAATGAAAAATTGCAAACGCAAGAAATCATGCCAAAATAGGGACTGTAATCAAACACATAACACATTGTTACATAAGAATAGACAACAAATTCCAGTTAGGGAAAATTTAACGACACAAGAAGGGTTACAAACATTGACTGACAATAATTGCAACATTAATCTCAGTGATAGAAAAGTATTTTTAAAGGTGGTTCCAATTTCAATTATTGGACCAATAAAAACCGTGAATACTTATGCTCTTTTGGATCCACAGTGTCACTAATAGATCAGGATCTTGCAAATGAATTGGGATTAGATGGACCTATAAAGCCATTAAGAATGCAGTGGATAAACAAGGAAATAAACGAACAAATCAATTCAAAAATAGTTAGTGTTCGTATCAGGGGCAGGAGTGAATCATTGAAGTTAATCACTTTGAGAAGAGTTAAGACAATATCGGGTCTTAATCTACCAGTTCAGACACTGAATGTCGGCAATCTAATTGACAAGTGGACATTTTTAAAACCACATACAGAAAATGCACAACCCAAAATTTTAATTGGTCAAGATAATTGGTCAGTTATTATAACTCGAAAACTTAACTATGAATCTTTTCTGGGACCAGTTGCCAGTAAAACGTCATTAGGCTGGGTGATTCACGAGATTATTGACTCATCGACAGATCAAAAACAACTTGATTATTCTTGCCACATTGCAGACAATGTTGAGCACATAAACGACAGGGGTGACTTACATTTGTTACAAGATTTAGTTAAATCGTATTGGAATGTAGAGAACGAACTGATTACCAAAAAAGATGATCCGATTTCATTGGATGACAAAAGGTGCGTGCGTATAATTGAGAAAACATTAAAAAGGAAAGGAGATAGATTTGAGTGTGGTCTCTTTTGGAAACAGGAACAGGAAAAACTACCGGAAAGTTATAAAAATGCCTTTAGTAGATTAATGCATTTGGAAAAAAAGATCGACAAAGATAACGTATATGGACAAAAATACAATGCCACGATAGACTCCTATATAGCAAAGGGATATTTACAAAAATTAAGCCCGGAAGAGATTGCAGTTGAAACTCCCCTACTATCTTCCTCATTTCGGTGTAGTTAACAGTAATAAACCGGACAAGCTAAGAATTGTATTTGACGCAGCATCAAAATCTCATGGATATTGCTTAAATTACTTTTTACTGACGGGACCAGATCTATACAATCAACTTGTACCAGTGCTAATGAACTTTCGAAAACATAAGATAGCATTTGTGGGTGATATAAAAGAGATGTTCTTACAGATACTAGTTCGCCAAAAAGACAGGCACGCTCAAAGAATCCTATGGCGAGGATCAGATCGAAATATAAAACCAGATGTTTATGAGATTCAAGTCCTTTTCTTCGGTTCTAAATATAGCCCAAGCATAGCTCAACAGACAAGGAATCGGAATGCTCTAGATTTTAAAATCCAATTCCCAAAGGCATGTAATGATATAGTGAACAATCACTACATGGATGACTACTTGGGAGGAGCACCTGACACAGCTAGTGCTATCAAATTAATCAACGAAGTCACATATATTCACAAACAGGCTGGGTTTGATATGTGTAACTGGGTTTCAAATTCGAAGGAAGTCTTAGAGCAAATAAATAAAAACAATTTACAGACAGATGTTAAACAAATTAAGAATGTACAAGAAGAACGTATCCTAGGACTTATGTGGGATTTTAAACAGGATTTGTTTGAGTTCAATTTAAAATTTAGGAACACATATGCAAATATTTTAAATTCATTGAAACGACCGACTAAACGTGAAGTATTGAAAATACCTATGTCTATATTCGACCCATTGGGACTTCTTGCGAATTTATTGATCAGTAACAAAATTCTATTGCAGACAGTCTGGGAGAGTGGTGTTGAATGGGATGAGTTAATTAAGGACGATTGCTATGAAATTTGGAAAAATTTATGCACTAATATAGGAAAGATCTGAGAATTTAAAGTTCCGCGTCAAATAACAAGTTTGCCTATTGATAAATGTGACATTCAATTGCATATTTTCTGTGACGCCTCAAAATCTGCATATGCCGCCTGCGCTTATTTACGATTTAGTTATGCTGACAAAATATAATGTTCTTTAATAATGGCCAGGTCAAAAGTATCTCCATTGAAACCAATGTCCATACCTCGGCTGGAACTACAAGGAGCGTTGATAGGAGCTCGTTTAAACAAATCATTGAAAGACATGTTGGATCTAAATATTAAGGGGACTCATATGTGGACTGATTCCGAAATAATATTGTATTGGCTCAGATCCAGCAGTAAGCGTTTTAAAGTATTTGTAGCACAACGACTTGGCGAAATTCAGGTGCTTACAAATGTAGGAGATTGGAGGCATGTTCCTACCAAATTGAATCCAGCAGACCAGGCAACTAAAATTTCTAAATTTGATTATACCAACAATGACATTTGGCTGAAAGGCCCACCCTTTTTATACAGGACTCCTTCTGAATGGCCAAATAGGAAAATAAATCAAGGCGTTCAGGCCGAAAACATAGAATTTGATCAGGAATATGTACATTCAATATCAGAATTGTCAAATACGATTTCTTTACCCGATGGTAACAGATTTTCTAACTGGATGAGATTTGTACGTACAACGGCTTGGGTGTTGAGGTATATAAATAAACTTAGAAAAACCAAAAATAATCAATCTAAAAACGAATTGACCGCAGTTGAGATCAATAAAGCGGAAAATCTTATTTACAAAAAAATACAGTCAGAATCATATAAAAATGAAATTGAATGCCGCATTAAGGGTAAACCAATAGATAAATCTAGCTCTTTAAACACACTTCCAGTTTTTATAGCGGATGACGGACTATTGAGACTACATGGACGGTTAAATAATATTAGCGAAGAAAGTTTTGACTTTGATTCAAAGAACCCAATTATATTAAGCAAGGGACATACACTCACCAATTTACTAGTTTATTTTTATCATGTAAGTAATCGTCACATTGGCACTGAAACTGTTATTGCTAATCTTCGACAAAGGTTTTGGATAACACAATGTCGCAGTGTCGTGAAAAAAGTAATTCAAAATTGTCAGTACTGTAGAAACAAAAAGGCGAAACCAGTTATCCCTATTATGGGTCAATTACCGACGTGCAGAGTCATGCCCACAGAAAGACCGTTTTTAAAAACAGGTGTCGACTATTTCGGCCCAATAGAAGTATCGGTGAATCGTAGTCATGTTAAACGCTATGGGGTTATTTTGACTTGTATGGCGTCACGTGCCGTACACTTAGAAATTGCTGAAGACTTATCGTGCAACGCCTTTATGAATGTTTTTCGTCAATTTGGTTGTCGGCGAGGATTTCCAATAGAATTGTACTCGGACAATGGAACAAATTTTAAAAAGGCCAGTAAAGATTTCAATGACATTATTTCCAACTGGCCCGAAAATGAATTGATTCAGTTTATGACCACAAAAAAATGTACATGGTTCTTTAATCCCCCGTTATCCCCACATATGGGAGGAGCATGGGAACGACTAATCCAATCAGTTAAAAAATATACTGTGTATATGCTAAAAGAAAGATATCCAAAGGAATATGTTTTGAAGACAGTTTTTTGCGAAATAGAATTTATGTTGAATAATAGACCACTTTTGTATATTCCTGCAGACTCAAATGAAACAGAACCGTTAACACCAAATAGTATTTTGATTGGACCGAACTATAGGGATTCATTTTATTCAAGCGCAACTGATAGAGATTTAAAATTTTTAAATATGTGGAAAGCATCACAAAAATTGGCAGATATGTTTTGGCAAAAATGGAAGAAAGATTACCGTCAGTACCTTCTCTGTAGTAGACAAGAGAGAACGCTACAGTCGAGCAAGCGCGACAGTGTAATACCCTGTACCCAGGTAAACTTCCGTCACTGAGTTATATGTGCCCAAAGCAGCAGCAAAAAGAGGAAGAAAAAGAGCGAACTTGTCGCTGCAGTTTGTGGGGGTTGTACTGGCGAGATTTTGTTTCGCTAATAACTTTTCTTAGAATCGACAGAATTGAATAAATTTAAACAACAGTAGATATTTATTTATAAATTATGTGTGCAAAGTTTGGTTTAGGTAGCATTTGAAATGTGGACGC